AGCGCTGGCAACAGCGGCTGCGGCATCCAATATGGCCGACCCCAGTCGGGCCGCGCAGCTCGGAGATCCGAGGCGCTGGCCAGCGCGCCCCCTGGCGACTGGACCGTGCGGGCCCCGGCGTCCGCGCAAAAACCATCGAGCGGGCGAGGGCCAGAGCGTCGCCGCCTGGAGGCCCCGCTCGACTCCGCTGCGCTGGCCTGGGCCCGGGGGTCGCCCGCGCCTCGTCCCCTCCCCGCGCCCGGTTGGCGCGGGAGCGAGCGCTGCGGCATCTTGGGGAACGCCGAGGCCGATATGTCCAGCGGGAGGAGACAGCTCCAAAGCGCGGCTCTAGGAAGAGCCTAAACGCGCCCGAGCAGCAGCAAGTTTAGGAACTGTGCCGGGTTGCCCTTGTTTCCCGGTGGATCGGTCCTTTGGCACGAGCGGCTGGGTTTCGCTGCTTTTCAGAGCTTGACTGGGCAGTGCCCTAAACATCCGCAGGCTCCCCCGCCCCCCGCCAAGGAAAAGTTCCTGGCCGTCTATTTAGTAACAGCGAACTCAAGCGTTTTAACCGCACAGGGAGGGAACGTTAGAAACAAAAGCCTTGGATCCGGGTTGGGGCACGCGGCGAGAAAAGCAGGCATGCAGCAGCTCCTTGCAGGAAGTGCCCGCTGCATAGGATCCAGAGACTGGAGTGGCACAGACAATGAGTGCATTTGTCTGCAAGGCGGGAAGAGGACCCTAGAATGCACAACATGTGAACAGATGAAAAGGGAACCCGTCTGTTTCGGAAGATGAATTGTTCTAAAGGAATTTTGCCCTAAGGATACTTGGAGTAACGGTAAATGGCGCATTACTTAGATGGATTAGGAGATTGCCGCTCTCTCGTGCAGTGCAAAATACGATACCAATTTAAAAATATTCATTGAAGTTAAAAGGTAGGGATGTATTGTGGGACCTCGAACACTGCTGTCCTATTGCTGAAAGTCAGTTTTCAACAGTCACTCCTCCCAAATTCCCTCAAAGGAAGAGAGGAACACGAGGGCAGAATCGTCCTTTTGGAGAGTTTTGGAGTCAAGGTAGTTCCTAAGAGCTGTGCCCAGAGCCCAGTGAAGCTGGGAAAGTAAGGCCCTTTTTGAGAGGTTTCAGAGCCTTCACTCTACTTTCTTGGCAGCTGTAGTACAGGGGTGGCTACTGAGAAGGTAACAGCGGTAACTCCATTAATAAGCGCTTTTATATTTACTTGCAGAATCTCAAATTCTGTCACAAATTTCGCCACCGCCTTCCATCTTCAGGCCTAGTCATGATGATCTCTTACCAACACTTGGAGTAGCCTCCTAACTGGTCCCTTGCTTGTCTTCTTACAGTTCATTTCCAGACGGTAGCTGAGGGATGTTTTTCTTAGACAAATCAGATCAGGTCACTCCCTTGCTTAAATCCCTTAGATACTTTCCCATTGCCCATCAGATATCATCATAACCTGTCACCATGGCCTGACGTTCCAGCCCAGCCTGCGGCAGCGCACACCACCTTCCCTTCTCCCTGGCTCTCCTGCCACACTGGCGTCCTTTCTGTACTTGACAACAAGCAGTGTTTTCCTAGGTAGGACAGTTGTGTCTTTTCCCGCAGGGGGCGGTTGCTCCTGTTCTTTCCTCCTCCTTCCTTCAGTCTTCCTGCAAGAGGTCTCCTAATCACTGCACCTAAAGTATCATTTGCTGTGGCTTGCAAAAGTACTGCACTCGGTCTGTGCATACCAGGTTCTCACCATCAAAAGTCACTGCTTTGAGGCCGGGCATGGTGGCTCATACCTGTAATCCCAGCCCTGTGGGAGGCCCAGGCAAGTTGATCACCTGAGGTTAGGAGTTCCACACCAACCTGGCCAACATGGTGAAGCCCGTCTCTACTAAAAATACGAAAAAAGAAAGTAGCCAGGTGTGATGGCACATGCCTGTAGTCCAGCTACTCTGGAGACTGAGGCAGGAAAATTGCTTAAACCTGGGAGGCAGAGATTGCAGTGAGCCGAGATTGTTCCACTGCACTCCAGCCTGGGCAACAAGAGTGAAGCGCCGTCTCAAAAAAAAAAAAAAAAAAAAAAAAAAAAAAGTCATTGCTTTGGCTTGTAAGGGATTATTTATTCTGTCATACATGAAATGAATATTGATGGAATTACTTAGGCCTGAGATTTTAAAATCCAATACAAACTAAAGGATAAAATCAGTTAACATGTTACACAATTTGATTTAATAAAGCTTCCACACTCAGAATGATAACAGAGGGCAGAGTTTGATCAGGGGAAGCTGGGGGTTGCAAGGATAGAGAGCAGCCGAAACACTTCTTTTTTTTTTTTTTTTTTAAGATGGAGTTTTGCTCTTGTCACCCAGGTTGGAGTGCAGTGGCACAATCTCAGCTCACTTCTCCACCACTGGGATTCCAGCGATTCCCCTGCCTCAGCCTCCAAGTAGCTGGGACTACAGGCATGTGCCACCACTCCTGGCTAATTTTTGTATTTTTAGTAGAGACAGGGCTTCACCATGTTGGCCAGGCTGGTCTCAAACTCCTGACCTCCGGTGATTCACCCACCTCAGCCTCCCAAAGTGCTGGGATTACAGGTATGAGCCTCCGTGCCCGACCTAAACACAACCTTAATGTGAGAAAGCGATAAAGCAAGAGAAAGGTTAGAGGGGAGCCTGGGGAACCCAGTGTAATGGCTATATACAAAATTTATACACAACTACGGAGTGTGAAAACGCTAATATCCGTGTGTGTGTGTGTGTGTGTGTGTGCATTAGGATTCTGATTGCCAGTATAACCAGGCAATTTGAGCTAGCTTAAGTATAACAGAAGAATTCGTTATTATGATGCAGGTTTTTCTCCTGCAACCAAAAGTCGGAAATGTAGCTGAGCGCAAGGGAGGGGCTTGAACCAAAATAGAAAACCTAAGAGGCAATGTAATCTCTGCTTATCTGCTTAATTTTTCTTTCTATTGCTTTACCCAATTCTCTGTTTTATCTAGTGGAATCTATTACTTTTGGTTTTATAGTTCTAGATGACTAGAGGACCTGAATGAAGACCTCTCCCTTCCCAGTTCCAAATTCCCAAGGGATGAAATAAGGAATTTCATTGACCCAGCTTGGATTAGGTGACCATCACCAAGAAACTGAAGACCACTAATTTGGTCCTGAAAAGACTGATATGAAATAATGGTCAGGAGTACTTCAGTCATTGGAAGAGATTTCACATTATAAATTGTGAAACTCAATCTAGTTTCTGGTGTTCTGTAAATGTTATTATCAGACTGTCCCCAAGGACTAAATAGTTTCTAGGAGCAACTTACAGAAACTAATTCAGCTATGGCCAAGAGGTCAGAGTCAAAAATAGTCTAGAGCAGTAATTACCATAGAACTTTCTGGGGTCATGGAAATGTTCTGAATCTGTGCTGCCCAATTCAGCAGCACTATCCCTGTGTGGCTACTGTGCACTTGGAATATGGCTAGGGCAGCTGAGGAAGATAATTTCTAATTTTATTTTACTTTAATTGACTGATGTTTAAGTATGTGGCTAGTGGCTACCATATTGGAAAGTCTAGCTAGAGGGTACTCAGTCCTGTGGATCAGATACTTCTTAGATAAGGGACAACTGTGAGGTGGCACTAAGCAAAATAAATAAATAAAAACTTATGAATTAACAGCTATTAGAAGGAATAGTAGATGTTTATGAGTTACTTCTAAAATGGGGCAAAAGCCTGGAGCATTGTCTAAATTAAAACTAATGCCCATCCAATGGGAAAAAAGAAAACTTGGGAAACAAACATTCCAGAATGCTTAGTAAATTATACTACCAATAAATGAATTATACTACCAATAAAATAATTTGTAAAAGATTGTATGAAACTACATGGCAGCTTCTCAAAAAACTAAACATGGAATTGCCATATGATCTAGCATTTCACTTATGCCTATATAGCCAAAAGAACTGAAAGCAGAGACTTGAACGTGCACGTTCAGAACAGTGTTATTCACAATAGCTAAAAGGTGGCGGCAACCCAAGTGTTCATTGATGGATGAATGGATAAACAAAATGTGGTACAATGGAATATTCAGCCTTCAAAATGAAGGAAGTTCAAGGCCCGGCACAGTGGCTCACGCCTGTAATCCCAGCACTTTGGGAGGCCAAGGCGGGTGGATCACCTGAGGTCAGGAGTTCGAGACCAGCCTGGCCAACATGGTGAAACCCAGTCTCTACTAAAAATACAAAAATTAGCCAGGTGTGGTGGTGCCCTCCTGTAATCCCAGCTACTTGGGAGGCTGAGGCAGGAGAATCACTTGAACCTGGGAGGCGCAGGTCTCAGTGAGTTGAGATTGTGTGATTATACTCCAACCTGGGTGAAAAGAGCAAAACTCCATTAAAAAAAAAAAAAAAAGAAGAAGAAGGAAATTCTGACACATGCTACAACACGGTTCAACATTGAAAACATTGTGCTAAGAGAAAAAAATGCCAGTTACAAAAGGACAAGTACTGTATGATTCCACTTACATAAGGTACCTAGAATAGTCAAACTCATAGAGACAGAAAGTAGAATGGTAGTTGCCAGATAGGGGAGTGAGAAACCAGGAATTTGTATTATTATTATTATTATTATTATTATTATTATTATTATATTTGAGACCAAGTTTCGCTCTTGTTACCCAGGCTGGAGTGCAGTGGTGCAATCTTAGCTCACTGCAACCTCTGCCTCCCAGGTTCAAATGATTCTCCTGCTGGAACCACAGGTGCCTACCACCAAGCCGAAATAATTTTTGTATTTTTAGTAGAGACGGAGTTTCACTATATTGACCAGGCTGGTCTCAAACTCCGACCTTGTGATCTGCCCGCCTCGGCCTCCCAAAGCGCTGGGATTACAAGCGTGAGGCACCACGCCCGGCCAGGAGTTGTTATTAAGTAGGTACAGAACTTCAGGCTGGGAAAATGAAAATTTCTGGAGATGGCTGGAGGTAATGGTTGCCTGACAGTGTGAATGTACTTATGCCATAGAGCTGTGCACTTAAAAATAAGTTTTATATGTAATTAATTACAATTTTTCAAATCTAAAGAAATGGTTAGAATAGGACTAGAAATATAAGAGAAATGTATATCCTTCCGTCCTCCGCGCCTTCCGTCGGTCGGTCCTTCCTGCTTCGCCTCCACGCCTCGCACTATGGGGCAGAGCCCCGGATAAGCTAGCACCACCTGAGGATCCGCAAACTGCCTCCATGGTGGAAGAGGACCAGGAACTGGAGAGAAAAATATCTGGACTGAAGACCTCAATGGCTGAAGGCGAGAGGAAGACAGCCCTGAAAATGGTCCAGGCAGCTGGGACAGATAGACACTGTGTGACATTTGTATTGCACAAGGAGGACCATACCCTAGGAAATTCTCTGTGTTACATGCTCATGAAGAACCCGGAAGTGGAATTTTGTGGTTACACTACGACCGATCCTTCAGAGAGCAAAATTAATTTACGCATTCAGACTCAAGGCGCCCTTCCAGCTGTTGAGCCATTTCAGAGAGTCCTGAATGAGCTCATGAATGTCTGCCAACATGTGCTTGACAAGTTTGAGGCCAGCATAAAGAACTGTAAGGATCAAAAAGCAAGCAGAAATGAATCCACATTCTAGTCCCTTATGCAGTATACATTGAGAACTGTCCTCTAGGATATTCTCTTCCTGATGGTGCAGAACTCAGAATTAGAAGTTTGTGATCAAAGCATACTCTGTCCTTCGGAAAGGCATGATTCTAGCTGTGACCCCTTGCAGCTGTTGGAATATCTGCAAGAACCTCTGTATTCTTCTAATAAATTCCCTTTTTTATTTAAAAAAAAAAAGAGAGAGAAATGTATATAACAGACTATTAAGTATAAAGGCATAGAAAACAAACTATTAATGTGTTTTAGCTCTAAAAGTATATGTGTAAGGCCTGAAAATGATATGAAAAATAAAAATTGTATTAGTATACTGGGATTATGAGATATTTAAAAATATGTTGTCTCTATCTAATAATTAATTTTCTTTTTGTTGTTGTTGTTGTTGTTATTTTTTTTTTTTTTTGATTCAGACAGAGACTCTCTCTCCCTGGCTGGAGTATAATGGTGCAATCTCAGCTCACTGCCACCTCCACCCCCGACCCCTCCGGGTTCAAGCAATTCTCCTGCCTCAGCCTCCTGAGTACCTGGGATTACAGGTGCCTGCCACCATGCCAGGCTAGTTTTTGGTTTTGGGGGTTTTGTTGAGACAGAGTCTCGCTCTTTGCCAGACTGGAGTGCAGTGGCACGATCTTGGCTCACTGCAACCTCTGCCTCCCAAGTAGGTGGGACTACAGGTGCACACCACCATGCCCAGCTAATTTTTGTATTTTTAGTAGAGACGGGGTTTCACCATGTTGATCAGAATAGTCTCTATCCCTTTACCTCGTGATCTGCCTGCCTCAGCCTCCCGAAGTGCTGGAATTACAGGCATGAGCTACTGCACCCAGCTGTATTTTTAGTAGAGATGGGGTTTCACCATCTTGGCCAGGCTTGTCTTGAATGCCTGACCTCATGATCCACCTACCTCGGCTTCCCAAAGTGCTGGTATTACAGGCGAGACCCACCATGCCCAGTCATAAATGAGTAATTTTCTATCTCATTTTTTTTAACGAGCACAATATAATTCACAAAGTCACCAAACTTGATACCGAAAGCAGGCATCCTGAGAGAAGCATAAGATACTAAAAGTAAACATTTTACATGGGGCTGGGTGCAGTGGCTTACACCTATAATCCCAGCACTTTGGGAGGCCGAGGCAGGTGGATCACCTGAGGATGGAAGTTCAAGACCAGCCCCATCTCTACTAAAAATACAAAATTAGCCGGGCGTGGGGGCGCAGGCCTGTAATCCCAGCTACTCGGGAGGCTGAGGCAGGAGGATTGGTTGAATCCAGGAGGTGGAGGGTGCCATGAGCCGGGATCGCCCCACAGCACTCCAGCCTAGGTGACGGAGTGAGACTCCATCTCAAAAAAAAAAGGTTTGGACTTGATAATAGAACTATTATTATCATCTGATAATAGAACTATTAAGTATTTATTTTGGTCTGGAGACCAGCCATGGAAAAAAACTGAAATACTAAGGGCACTGTAACCCAGAGAATTTGAGAGCCTCTGTATTAAGATTTTGCATTATTGGATTTTTTTTCTGCTTTTAATATGAAGACACTAGAGAGCTACGTAAAATTTTAAAAGGCGGCTGTTGAAAAGCATATACCAGCCCAACATGGTGCTCGCACCTACAGTCCCAGCACTTGGGGAGCCTGAGGCAAAAGAATTGCTTGAGTCCTGGAGGTTGAGACCAACATGATGAAACCCCATCTCTACAAAAAATGTGAAAATTAGCCGAGCATGGTGGCACACACCTATAGTTCTAGCTACTCAGGAAGCTGAGGGAGGAGGATCACTTGAGCCCAGGAGTTTGAGGCTGCAGTGAGCTGTGATCTCGCCACTGCAATCCAGCCCAGCCAACAAGTGAGACACTGTCTTTAAAAAAAGCACATATTTTGCCATTTTTGTTTTGATTTAAGAGATTTATAGAGAAGAACGAATTAGTAATCACGAAGAATTGTAAAAGAGAATTGAGTGCGGATATTGAAAGAATTAGCACTTGAAGCACAAAATTATGGTGAAATGGAACTTAATCTTATTTGTGGGGTCAGGACACCCCATATAGTTTTTAGGATCTACAATCATCCCTCTTAACTCCCAGGGACAGTTGACACCTTAAAATGATAGATTTATGGAAGAATGGCAGACCAGAGTTCCTAAATACTTCTGTTGTATACTATCAATACTAATTAAAATACTTAAATTTTATTCGTACTTGTTTTCCTTGTTTGGCCTTTTTTTTTTTTTTTTTTTTTTTTTTTTTTTTTTGAGACAGAGTTTCGCTCTTGTTACCCAGGCTGGAGTGCAATGGCGTGATCTTGGCTCACCGCAACCTCCGCCTCCTGGGTTCAGGCAATTCTCCTGCCTCAGCCTCCTGAGTAGCTGTATTTGGCTTTTTTTTTTTATTTTAATTGAGATGGAGTCTTGCTCTTTCACTCACACTGGAGTGCAGTGGTGCAATCTCAGCTCACTACAACCTCCACCTCCCGGGTTCAAGCGATTCTCCTGCCTCAGCCTCCTGAGTAGCTGGGATTACAGGCACATGCCACCACACCCAGCTAATTTTTGTATTTTTAGTAGAGACAGGGTTTCACCGTGTTGGTCAGACTCTGCCCACTTCAGCCTCTCAAAGTGCTGGGATTACAGGCATGAGCCACCACACCTGGACTGGCTTTTTTTTTTTTCATGGTCATCCTAGTGGATGAGAAGAAGCATCTCATTGAGTTTTGTTTTGCTTTGAGACAGGGTCTTGTCCTGTCACCCAGTTGGAGTGCAGTGGTGCAGTCACGGCTCACTGCAGCCTTGACCTTCTGGGATCAAGTGATCCTCCTGCCTCAGCCTCCTGAGTAGCTGGGACTACAGGTTTGTGCCACTACACCTGTCTAATTTATTTTTGTAGAGACAAGTTATCACTATGTTGCCCAGGCTGGTCCCAAACTCCTGGGCTCAAGTGATTCTCCCTCCTTGACCTCCCAAAGTGCTGAGATTATAGGCATGAGCCACGGTACTTGGCCAGATTTTCTTTTGTTAGAGACATGGTCTGACTCTATCAAACAGGCTAGAACATAGTGGCATGATCACACCCCAGAACAGCTTCAAGCTCCTAGGCTCAAGCAATCCTCCTGCCTTGACCTCTGGAAGTGCTGAGATTATAGATGTGTACCACCATGCCTGGCCAAATTTTCTTTTTAAATTCATCTTTTATTTGATAAAAATGAAAAACAGTCCACAAAAGCCAAGCAAGTAGAAGCAGGAATCCAGAGAAATAAGGAAGACCTGAAATGCCAGAATCCTGTGACCATCTACCAGTCCCTGATGTCACCAAGCTTTGATTCTAATAGCCATACAAGTATACAGGACATGAGATGACCAAGTTATGGAGGACAGTACACAAAGCTTGTCTGTAGGTATGGGTGGGGAGAAGCCGAGAAATGTGTCTGTCTCGACCATGGAGCTGAGTGGAGAGTGAAAAGAATTCCTCTGAACCACAAGTCAGACCTCATGCAAGTTTGTGGCCCAATTCATAATTCTTGGGTGATGCAAAAAACCTCAAGCAAAGAAATTCTGCTAAATTGGTACTGGGTTGGCATGCCTCCAGGCAACTGACAGAGGAACTGCAAATTCTCTCAGAGGAAAGCACCTTTAGGTGGGGCGCGGTGGCTCACACCTGTAATCCCAGCACTTTGGGAAACCAAGGAGGGTGGATCACCTGAGGTCAGGAGTTTGAGACCAGCCTGACCAACATGGCAAAACTCTGTCTCTACTAAAAATACAAAAATTAGCTGGGCATGATTATGCATGCCTGTAATCCAGCTACTTGGGAAGCTGAAGCAAGAGAATCGCTTGAACCCAGGAGGTGGAGGTTGGAGTGAGCTGAGATCACGCCACTGAACTTCAGCCTGGGTGACAGAGTGAAACTCTGTCTCAAAAAGAAAAAAAAAAGGGAAAGTACTTCAGCCTAACCTTCAAAGAAGTTTGACAAATAAAGATCTATTGCAAATAAGATTACAACCGACCATCTAACAGGAAAACAAAGCATCATAAGCAAAAGCCAAGAGAAGCAAAAGACAGCAGAATCAGACCAGCAAAAAGTTTAGCTGGTGGAACCGAATTCGGAATATAAATGTTTAATAGATTTCCTAGAACATGATGGACTAGGTTATTCAGACCAGCCTCATTACTGAAAAAAAAACAACAAATGCTGGCTAAAAGAAAAAAATCTGGCCAGGCAAGGTGGCTCACACCTGTAATCTCAGTGCTCTGGGAGTCTCAGGCAGCAGGATCACTGAAGCCCAGGAGTCCGAGGCTGCCGTGAGCTATGATCACATCACTGCACTCTAGCATGGATGACAAAGCAAGACTCCATCTCTAAAACAAAAACAGAAAGAAAGAAGAAAAAAGGCCAGGTGCGGTGGCTCACACTTGTAATCCCAGCACTTTGGGAGCCCTAAGTGGGTGGATCACCTGAGGTCAGGAGTTCGTGACCAGCCTGACCAACAGGGTGAAACCCCATCTCTATTAAAAATACAAAAATTAGCGAGGAGTGGTGGCTCACATCTGTAGTCCCAGCTACTTGGGAGGCCAGGAGGCAGAGGTTGCAGTTTGCAGTGAGTGGAGATCGTGCCACTGCATTCCAGCCTGGGCAACAAGAGTGAAACTCCAAACAAAATAAAACAAAACAAAACAAAGAAAGAGAGAGAAAGAAAGAAAGTAAATCTTAAAAGCTTTGAAATCACTAAAAGCAGGACAAATCCTAAAACTAAGAACTCAGAAAGGCAAGTAGAACCCTGAAACTGATTTTTCTTTGAGAGTGGTTTCCATTCTGGACAAACTTGAACTTTGGGTTTTGATAGTCTCCTGGGGTAAAGGGGGCAAGAGCCAAAGCCTAGCGGCCATGCATGTTGGGAAGGCTACTTGGGAGTCTCCTCATATTGAACTACAAATGGGTCCTCAAATGGCTACAACCCAGGATTAGGGCAAAACAAAAGTAAATTCATTCCCTTCTCTACCCCAGGGGACTCTGAGAAAAATTCCTTTGTCTAAAGAGAGCAAAGAGGGGGACAATGCTGAAAAGTGTCAAGCTAGCCTCTGCATGGATTTGCAGCTCAAAAGTAAATTATCTGGTCAGGTGTGGTGGCTCATGCCTGTAATCCCAGCACTTTGGGAGGCCAAACAGGAG